GAGTACCGAGCCCTGGGGAACTCCGCTAGCTACCGGCCTCCAACTGGACTCTGCCCCGCCGATCAGAACTCTCTGGGCCCTGTCATTCAGCCAGTTCCGAAAGTAAACGTGCTATTTTTTTCAGAAAGTAAACGTGCTATTTGATGCCACAAAAAGTTCTGATCTCAGTACAGTCATAAACATAGAAAATTTGTCAGTGAATGGCTTAAACAACATAAAGAACCAGGATATTTTACCTAACTGTTTACTCCCTTGATCTTTTTAATATTTTATAACACGAACACTAGATTGTTCAGCTTACTTTTAAGGAGTATTTTATCATTACAGCAAAATAAAGTATCATTATTCTTTTTTTTTTTTGGGGGGGGGGTGGTGTCAAGCATAGCTGACCAGTTTTAGACAAATATATATATATACAGGATCTTAAAGACTGCCCTAGGACAGCTGTGACCTGAGGCGTACAATGTTTACATTTTGCTTCAGAGAAATGAAAGTGAAAATATGAAAATTATGGCAGCTCTTTTCTCACACTGATTGACATGCATGTGTACATGTGTATGCACGATCTCTGCACACTTGCTTTTTAATAACAGAGACACTAGTTTAAGATATTCAGCACAATTATTGAATCACTGAACTTCATTTCACTGGGTCCCTGAGCCCCCTCCCAGGTTTTGTGTGAGATCATATTAATCCTTATATGTCTCTAGCTGTGTTCTGAATCAAACAGCGCAAGCTGAAGACTGGCAGCATTGTTATAAACATCCCAAGCAAATTGCTTTCACATTTCCAAGTCACTGACAAAACTTATCAGCATCTTAGACAGTAAAACTAGAAAGAAGCTGATAGAAGAATTCTACTGAAAAGAAAACTTTTAGCAATAAAGAAGAAATCTGTGAGAACTTGTTCTGAGTTTGCTTATGGGAGGATGTTTAAAGCTGAGTGAGAAAAAAGCCCTAAGACTGGTCCATCTGCATGAACTCTGCAGTTTTAGTGTGAGATTCCCATGCACTTCTTCTCTGTCCAGATGTTCTATATGAAATAACAAAATCCCAAACTGGAGAAGCTGCTAGCTCAGGTGATTTAGCTTTTGATACCACTCACTGTCACTTGTTATAGTGAATCTACATTTCACGGCTGTTATGCTTATTATATTCATGTTTCAGTTTCCCCTTTTTTAAAAGTGTCTCTTTCCCAAACTCAGTCATGTATTTAAAACTAATACTGTGCGTTACCTACTCGCTAATTAAAAATTTGTTTGGTTTTGATAACTGAGACGTCGGTACAGAGTGAACGTACAAACCTGCAAATACTGTGGTCATTTCTGACTTTGGTATTATTACTAATTTTCAAAAATCTTGGGTTTGTATTTTTTCAAAGGCAAATTCATAATAAAGATAAGGTTAATTTCTTTTACTTTTTCTTTCAAATACAGGTACAGCTACATGATTGACAACATAATTCTTTTAATAACTGGCACATTACACCAGCGGCCCATAGCTGAACTTGTTCCGAAGTGCCATCCACTGGGGAGTTTTGAGCAAATGGAAGCAGTCAGCATTGCCTCAAACCCCACTGAGCTGTTCAATGCAATTTTGGTTGACACACCATTAGGTAGGAACACTAAATTATTTCTTATTCACTTCTTGGAACTACTCATCCTGTATTCTTAAGACTATCTCAGATGGAGTAGCATGATTTCCACTGGATATGCTGTGTTTTGGTAACACAAAACACGAAGTGTGGGTGAAGCACTTCTGAAGTGGTGTTCAGGACATTTTCTAGCAACATTTACTAACAGCTTCTATATCAACCTTGGGTAGCAGGTGCAAGGAAAACATGCTACTCAAGAAGTGTAATGGATATCTTTTGTACCCAAATTATTCACTGATTTAGAGCTTCTAGATTTTTATTTCCACACCTGCATCTATAATTAAAAAATGTAAGACAAAATCTTGCCTAACCCTGACTAAGGATGAAGAAGGAGACAGTTACTAATAAATATTAGATGTTGTGGTAGAACCTAGATTCCCTCTTGGGATTTGGGCATGATTCAAACACAGAGAAAATCCCTATTTTGAAGAACTAAATCTAAAAGCAAAACAGAGTGAGGCTTGGGAACGTCACATTCTGAAACTGGGATGCAACTCTGCTCAATGTGCTGCAGCAGCCAACATGAAAAAGCAAAACCTAACCAGCTGTGGGGCGCTGCTGGGAAGGGTACTGAGAACAAGATGGAACTGGATGGATTTGAACATGTATGAAACCATTGTGTGCCCTCATCTTGAGTACTGTGAGTGGATTTGGGTTCTGCTTCTCAGGACAGCTGGTGGGTTGGCCCCGGACAGAAGCCAAACTCCCACCCAGCCACTCGCTCAACCCGTGCCCCCAGCACACTGTGGGGAGAGAAGGGGGGAATGGGGTGGGAAGGCACCTGTGGGCTGAGATCACCTACAAAGTACTGTTGCAGGCGAAACAGGTTCAATTTGGGGAAAATCAACTTGGTTGATTAATACTAATACAGTTAATTACTGATTCAGGCATTCAGAAACAAACAAACAAACAAGAAACAAACATTTACATGCTTATGGAAAACACCTTTCCTCCCCCCTTTCCCACTCCTTCGCTCCAGGCTCCTCTCCTCTGGCCCCCTGTTATCACTGCAGGGTACACTCAGTCCCCTTGGAGAGGCAATGAGTGGCACAAGGACCATGTTGTGGTCCCCCTGGATCCCCATGGTACAAGGGGATGTTTACAGTCAGTACACGGTGGTGTCCCTCTGCCACCCCTTCCTCCTCACACTTATCCTCTGCTCCGGCGTGGGCTCTCCACAGGCGGCAGGGAGCACCCACTCCAGTCCCATGAAGCGTCTCCTCCTCCTTCTCCGATCTTGGTGTTTCTCAAAAATTTTTTTCCCTCCTCCTCTCTACATTGTGTGTTTTTTGCCTTTTCTTAGACACGTTTTCCCAGAGGCACCGCCAGCTCAGCTGAGGGCCGCAGCTGTGCCCCGTGGTGGGCAGCCCCTGCCTCCCCTCACAGAGGCCGCCCTGCGGCCCCCGCTGCCGACACCTGGGCACCCACACCCCGTACAGCGAAATCAGAGAAGGTGCACAGCAGGACAGCCAAAACAAACACGGGGGTAGTGCTGCCATGTGCAGAGAGACTATAAAAGGCTGGACTGCACTTTGGAGAGGACAAGGTTAAAGAAAGACATGGACAATGTTTACAAAATCCTGAGGGCAGTGGCTTGTCCACAGTGAGCTGCAAACTGTTGCTTACCAAATCTTTTAGAAGACCAAATCTCAGGTAAAATAAAACTTTTTTTTTTTTTTTTTTACACAGCTGGTAGTAAATTTCTGGAATGTTTTTTGCTAAACAAGTTTGTAAAAGCAGAGGCTAGTATTGGATTTTTAAAAAGATGGGACAAATTCTCAGTTAATGGATCTACAAAGAGATACTAAAGGGAACCATCAGGGCTACATCCTCTAATATTGTTCATCCAAAAACTGGATGTTGGGAGAGTATGAAGGGAGAAGACCACAAAACACAGCCGGGCTCACATGCTCTCTTTAAACGCCATCTCCCATTGCCACTGTCTAAGACACCACTCTCTGTTGGGCAGCACTGGTCTGTCCCACTGACATAGCTTAGGAACGGTGAGGGATTGGCATACTTTGGTCAGGTATAAATACAATATTTTTAAGTGGCCCAGCTGCACAAATGAACTTCATTCTCTGCCTCCCTGTTCAAAAGCTTGCTCTTTAGCCAGTTCTGCAGAGGACCTGGAAGCACAGATGGTCAAGGTCAAAGCTTGTGCCCCTTAGTAGTTGCAATCTGTTGCCTTTCCCCTGCTGCAGACATACCCAAAGAGGAAGAGGGAAAATAGGAAGGAGGATTCTCCTTAACAGTTGCGGAATACCTGCATGATTTAAGTCAAAAATCATCTTTCATGTTCCTCACTAGAAAATCTCCCTAATGCCCAAACCATATACTTCAGAGAAGATTAGGGTTTTCATTAGCATTTCTCATCTGATTCTCTCTGGAGATGTGGACTCTGGCTGCAGCACTGATTGATTCCCCTCACAGCAGATTCTCATTAAAAAGGAGGGAGTAGGAGGATAAGGGGGAAATCAAGAGGATTTCTCTTCCTCTCTGTTACATCATTTGCACAACAGAAACCTCGGATCCTTGCTCACACACTGGAGAATGGCAATAGACAAGAGATGCATATTATCAGCATGTAGACTTACACTGGAATATAATAAACTCTGTTTTCAGCTGCTTTCTTTCAAGACTGCTTGTCTGAAAATGACCTGGATGAAATGAACATTGAAATAATGCGCAACAAACTATACAAGGCAAGTTCCTGCAACATAACGATAATACTTGGGGGTTTTCAAAGTGTCTCAGAAAAGGAGGTCAGTATCATTAACCCTGTTTTATGGATGGGGAAACAGAAGCATGGTGAGATAAAGCAATCTGTCCCAAGGTCACCTGCTGATGACAAGTCCAGGAATCAAATCCAGCTCCTTTCATTTCTACTCTACTGTTTGGAGAGTTTTCAAATTTTAGGTCTGCATCCAAATTCTAATTTAATATCTCATTAATGAAAATGCTTTAGATGTCAGGCTAATATCCAGATCCATTTGTTTATGAATAACTCAGTTATCCACCAAATGCCACAGAACTGTTAGCTACTAAGTGAGCCTAGACAGGCTTTTGGCTAACATTTATTTCTATTTATAAAAGGTAGATGTGATTTGAAAAGGTCTAATTGCTTTGAGCCTAGCTAACTTTTTTATTTACAGGTTTTGTATCATCTTCTTCCTTTTTAAATTACCTTTAGCATTGCTACAGCACACTACTGTAAGGATATGCATCTAACATGTGCCTTGCATTTTCAAAGTACTTTACAAATATTAGCTCACAGGTCAATACTCTTAGGATGGCCTCTTTAAAGGCTATACATATTTCATTCCGTTAATGGTTCCTCCTGGTACATTCTCTCAAAATTCTTTGTTATCTTTCTTTCACAGTGGATGCCCCAGACTGCAGGAAGTATTCTTACAGTGATCTGATTGCACTAGGGGGGAAGAAAAAAAAATCTTCTATTTGTCTTACAAATTATATTTATAAATTCCCAAGCCATTATTTGATTCTTAAATATTCTGCTACTTCCTCTCATTCAAAACAAGATCAGTTATGCCCAAGTATTTTAATTCTTCCACAGTACTACTGAACTAGAGACTCTTTTTCCATTTGATAACATAAAGACTCGATTCTTATATCCTGTGTGTATAACCATACATTTACACTTATTAAATCTATTTTTTTGGTTTTTTTCTTCTCACTCTTCTAAGTATCAGGGGGATCATTCTGCAAACACTTCTAAATTATTAATATATCCTGTCTCCTCTTCTTCATCTGTCAATGTGACCAATTGTTTCAGCTCTACGATCAAATAGCACTATACAGAACCTAACACATAATCCCATGCAGCAGATCCCCCTTGAGATGTCTCCACTTAAAATTCACTTAATTGCATAGTTAGTGATGGCTTCTTATAACAAGATTGTGTGAAGTTGTAGCAAATACATTTTGATAACATATATGTTATCAAAAAACAGTATTTGGGGGGATGGAGAGGCAAGAACAGCATCTCTGAGCTATTTAGGGGTCCTTCCTGCACAGGTATTTTGAAATGGGTGTGAAGGCCAGAAACCTTAATAGACCAGAGGGCTCTGCAGACCGGTATTACAAAAGCTTCGTCCGCTGTTCTGTCCTAATCCAGGGTTTAGGGTAGAGCAGTAGGGATTAGTTTGTGTATCCTCACAGTGCTGGCCCAACAGCCGTGGCATATTCCCAAATCCCCTCCTCCATACTACAAATGCAGACTTTCCTTCAGCCATCTGCTTATTATGCAGTGGAAGCTCTATGGAGCTCAAGAAGTTCCTTCTTTAGGGAGCAAAGAAAACAATATTTTTCCTATAACAATTTTTTAAAACATTTGAACCCACATTGTAATAACCAGATATTTGCATTTTAATATTTCAACTTTCAATCCAGCACAGTAATTAAGCACATACTTGAATTTAAATTCATAGATAGAACTATCAAAGTTAATGGAAATATTTAAAAATGAGGTTCATGACTCTGTGCTGTGTTGGTCCAGGTCTTAAGCAGCATTTAAAATATTTCTCCTTTCATGTAGTCTTACCTTGAGGCATTCTACAAGTTTTGTGAAAAACAAGGTGGTACTACAGCAGAAATCATGAGGCCTATTCTTGAGGTAAGAAAAATTCAGTCTTTGTACATGAAAGTACTCCACAATGTTTTCATAATTAGGTTACTTTGTTTTTCCTGTTCCTGCTCTCTCCATTTGCGAAGTTATTTGTCAATTGTCTGCTTCTCCTCTGAGTAATCACTGTTTTTCTAAGATGTAATGAAGACTTTATTCTAGGAAGACTTTTACCTCTTGACTAGAGAAGCAGCTAGTCCATCACCAGAGAGGAGTTAGCCTCAGTTAATATTTTTCTATAACAGAGAGCAGAACAGAATAAATGTTTCACTAACCTCAAACTGCTGCCCCTTAACATTTTTCTGTATTGTGCAGAAAAACTAAAAAAGTGGATTATTTTTACACCTCTTAGCTCAAAATTAAATTTGGCATAGCTAAGGTCTGGCATTATTGTATATTTACCAACCAATAATCTTTAAGCTTCATGCCACTATTATGCTTGTTTACTCTACTATTAAAATTAATGGTTGAAGTTAGAGTTGAGTGACCTTTGGAACTAGTGTTATACAGAAAAGTCCAACATCACGTTTTATTTTTGTCTCAACTCAGAAAAGTTTAATATTTATTTTTTCCATGACATATAAAATTCCTAATGTCCTCCTCCCCAGAGTGTACCTGCAGCGTGATATTTTTGTGTCGGTTACTCTAATAAAAGATGCAGAAATTCCTTAATTTAAGTTCTCAGTATTCAGCTCCATTTTTTTTCACATGGTTTATCACAATTCTTTGCAGAGTTTGAGAGCTAGATCACCCATTTGCTTCCAGGAGTCTTTTTTTCTGGATAAGCAAAACTTACACCCAGGAAACTGACTGAACAAAATTAACTGAGCTCTGATGACAACACACTAAAAGTTTGCATTATAGACATAATAATCCTGGGAGCTCACCCCTGAAGGAAAAATGAGCCTAAATTATATCTTACGAAATAATGTCCTAAAAGGGAATACAATTGCATATTTTAGTTAAACAGGTCATAATGTTTCAGTTTATGTTCTAAAGAAAATATTCTTAATCAAGTTAAATTGACCAGAAATTAAGTATTTTGACTATTCTTTTCTGAAAAATAAAAATCAAGAGATTGGTTGGCACAGGTAAAGACATTTTCCACAGTTGATTCAGATTTTTCAGAAAGTTCATTTTTAGCTAGGAATTCATGCTGAGAGCAGATTACTTACCAGCACTAGTTTAAGCATGTTGTAAAACTCTCTTTATACTGGTTGTAACAGTTTAGTCTGTGATAAGCTTCTTTAAAATCCCTATCTAATGTCAATCAGCTAGGAGGATAAACTTTTCTGCAGATTCCCTTTTCTATAACATTTTAATAATCTGAAGACAAACATAAAGCAGATTGCTATGGTTGAATTCACAAAAAGACAAAGTTTAATTATTCAAAAGAATACTTGCTATTTATTCTGTAATCTTATATGTAAGACTACCAACCTGACCCTATCAGAATGAAGCTGAGGTATTTAGCTCCCCAAATCATTGACCACCAGTCACGGTGCCAGCCTTCCACATTAAAAGTACTGACGGTCTCTCTTCCGACATGGACAAAAACCCTAGCATGTTTAACCCTGAATCTGGCAAGAAACTGCAGGACTGCACTGCAGCTAGTGCTGTGCCTGTTATTAGGGCCCCATGCTAATTCTCAGGTAGCACACATGCTACTTCAGTTTCCCATATGGAAACTAAAGCACTTATCATAGAATCATAGAATCATTTAGGTTGGAAAAGACCCTTAAGATCATCAAGTCCAACTGTTAAAGTAATCCTGCCATCCCACCACTAAACCAAAATGAAATGGTCATCCCGTGATTCCACCTCTACCTGCAGCAATCAAATGGCCCAAGTCACCAAATAACTGCCTCATGGCCTTACTCACTACAGAGAACCTCATGTGCAAATAATTTGATTAATTGAGAAGTTTGTATGGATAGGACCAATCCTGCAAATTTTCTCAACCGGTGAGCCACAGAATTAGGCCCCAAACCCACTAGCATTAGTTGCAATTACATCTGAGCATGCCTTTTTTCCAATAAAATATCACAAATCTAACAGCTGATTCTACATGGCTTCACCAAGTTAAAAACCCAAAGCAGTTGTCCTTCCAAAACACTTTTACTAGGGCTGATATGCCTGTTCATATTAAGGCAAGTGAAATTTGGCCCTGTTATTCATTAGCTAGAAATCTTTTCAAGCACACTTATTTTCTTCTCATTATTTCTCTATTGTTTATTCATTTTCCTTACCCTGAAGTCAGTGCCAGAGGGCGGCTGGGTCCCTGTTACAGTGTGTTCCAGTACACAGGAGTAGGACCTATGAATATGTGCTTAACTGCTAAAGTTGTAGAACTGTGTTGCAACTGCAGTCTTATCACTCAACAGAAAAGGGTACCCTTCTGCTTAAACCAGTTCAAAAATTCACAGCATAAGAAATTTTGTAAGCTGCCTAAAATGTGTGTATATTCTGTATGGTTCACTTGGAAGATTTTCCTGCATATTCCCTGCAATTAGCAAGGGCTCTGCTGTTCTTACAACATGAAAGTAAGCAATAAAGGAAAGAAAGAAAACTATGGTCAATTTAGATCTCAAGACAGAAGAATAGATTTAAATCAAACAGAATTGAGTAAGATTATTTTTGTTTACCCTTACATTTTTAATTCATACTGTAAGAATGGCAAGTGAAATTTTGCCTTGTACAAAGAACAACTTGAGATCTAGACATTAGAATGACTTTCAGTCTACTGCTGCAGGGAAAATACAGATATTACAGGCATCTAAACCTGACAGAAGAAGTATAGCCCTTGAATCTATGCGTTAAAAATTAACTGTTATTTGAAACACTTGAAAACTTTAACTTGGCAAGTAAACAGCCCCCTCTACCTTATTAAATAATTATTTTAAATATGTGCATTCAGAATTTTCAGAATTCCCATCCAACCCTTACTCTCAACAGCAGTCTGAGTTACCCCAGAACAGTACTATTGATTCCTGTTCCTTTCCTGTATTATTATTAAGAGTATTATTTCATAACTTCAGAAGGGTGTGTGAGGAGATTTTTTGTTGTCAACATCTGGGCAACTAAGTACGGAAATGAGGAAGTAGCAGAGATGATATTTTCAGCACAAAATTCACAGAATAAAAGCTGTGCTTGCAAAATACTTTGATTTTCTAGTTAAAATTTAGCAAGTATTTACAAATAAGGACTTACAATTCTTAAAACAAGGTATGTTTCTAATGCTCTGAAGTGCACTTTTTTTAAAGTTCCTATAGTTTAGCTTACTGAAAAAAACATATCCCCACCCTAATTTAGAATGAGATTTCTAATACCACCTCCTTATTATTTGTTTTGCATATTCAGTTTGAGGCAGACAGACGTGCCTTTATCATCACCATTAACTCATTTGGTACTGAGCTGAGTAAAGATGACCGAGAGAAGCTCTATCCAACCTGTGGAAAACTGTATCCAGAAGGCTTACACCTGTTGGCCAATGCAGAAGACTATGAGCAAGTGAAATGTGTTGCAGATTATTATTCGGTATGTGATCTAATTTCTTAAAACAAAAAGCCAAAATACAAATACTTAACATCTCTTCATGTCAGTGAAATTTTAAAGAGTATTCACGTAAGTTAAAAGTATTTTTGAGAAAGAAAAATATCAGCAAAAATACAACAGATCCTGTAAAGAAGCATATGGAATCAATGGCCTTTGATATGAAGACATATTATTATCTTAGTGCAATACAAAGTTCCTCTTACAGTGATGTTGAAATAAGACCAAATTACATTCTAGTAAACAAAACTCTTCTTACTTCATTAACCATCCCCAAACTGAGTTTCACTTCACAGTTGTTGCCTCTGAGATTTTGGAGCAAAAGCTAAGTCATTTTAAAATGAGCTGACCAGACAATTCATGTCACAGATGAGTGCAAACCTGATTTATTGCTAGTGTACTGTAAAAATGCCCTTCTGAAAAGTTTTCTCGAAATCACTAATTGAATCAAAGAAGTAGATGAAGTTGTTAATACTGACGCGACTGGTTTAGTGGTGGGATGGCAGGGTTAGGTTAACGGTTGGACTTGATGATCTTAAAGGTCTTTTCCAACCTAAACAATTCTATGAGTCCATGACTGGTGACATTATTAAAGACGAATGAATATGCAACACTTGATCTATGAATTAACTGTGGTACTCTGACTACCTATAATATTTAAGCTACCTCCAGCTACGTACATAAAAAAAAATGGTGCCTGTTCTATTGCTTTTTCCAAGGAAGAAACAAAGCTGGAGATGCACATCTGTTCCTGTGTATTAGCAGAATGTTAGAAGCATGTGTCACCATGTCAATGTGGTACAGAGCAAGTCTATTCTTGTGACGGTAGGACATTTACATGAATTTGTGAACCATGGTACTAGATCTATACTGCACTGCTACTTTATAGGAAAAACAAAACAAATACACAGAGAAACAAATTACACAGAAATGTAACAAGTAAGAAATTAAGTCAAATATATCTCCACAGAATATTCCAGCATGACATATCAGACTAGTACATTTAGATGCAATAATGCAGATAAAGCAAATCCAGCTGACTACTTGGAAATAAAATGAGCAGCCATGTGAGGATCAGAGTTCAGGATTTTGGCTCCATTTACAGCTCTGGCTCTGATGGATACTATTTGTACAAGGAGTGCTCTCTGTCCAAAGGAGTGAAAGGTCATGTGTCATTCTACAATAAGCCTCTTTTAGTGCCTTCAGTAAATTACTTTAAGTTGTAGGAAATGACGTTAAGAAAAACAAGAACAAATGCAATTTTTCTTTCTTTTGCTGACTATATGCTTTTAACTTTTGATTTATGTAGAACTCTAATCTATACATGAGTTCTTCTATACAGAAAGACTACTTAATGTAGATTGACTAATAAAGTAATGTAAGGTATCTGTGCTCCACAGAATGCAAAAGTACCTTATTTCCATTGGGTGGTTGTCTATGCTTTTAGGAATACAAGGCTGTGTTTGAAGGTGTAGGGAGTGGCACTGGAGAAAAGACACTGGAAGATGCATTTTTTGAACATGAGGTAAGAGCTTCTAACCTTAAAATATCAAAATGAAAGTTAGCGTTTTATTCAAGAACACAGTATTTCTACGGCTGTCAACATTTGACTGAATTAAAATAGAAGGATTTATCTTTTTAAATAAAATAAAACCCAGGACATTCTTCTGAAGACTAGTTATAGAATTGTCAACCCTGATAGCCTATCCAAAAGCCATCTCATATAAACCACTTAATGAAATTTTTTTTGAATAGTCTACTGAAGAAGGTATTTCACCATTGTCCTTTACTTACCTGTAATGTTGCTGTAGTGTATTACCAAAATTAATCCAGAGATGAAATTTCAATTATATTTATACTCGAGAGACTACTAAATACAGTCATGGTTGCAAAGTTACACAGAAATCTTGATCATAAAAGCTGCCATATAAAAATCACGTTTGCCTTCCTTAATATTTTATCATAACACTTGTTTCATCTTTTCCACAGGTAAAGCTGAATGTGCTTGCATTCAACAACCAGTTTCATTTTGGAGTATTTTACTCCTACGTAAAGTTAAAGGAACAAGAATGCAGGAATATTGTATGGATTGCTGAATGCATTTCTCAGAGACACAGAACAAAAATTAACAACTACATTCCGATTTTCTAAATCTGAGAATTTATAATCCTACAATGCCTGAAAGGATGCACTATTTCATAGAAAAGGAGACAAATCTTATTTCAAAAGTTAACTCTCATCAGATGTTTTAAATTATATTAATAATTCCTCTTATATACAACTGTGTAAGAAAAAGTAAGTAATCAGAGATATGAGTACTTTATAAGGAAATATTAATGGGCTTATTCATAGTTTTTATTGGTAGACTTGTTTCCCACTGTGCCCATTTCAATTTAATTGATCAATAAAAACTCCCTGCAAGGTCCTTATATACATATCCTTTCTCTTTTGTGGAAGCAAGCTTTCTACCAGTGACATTTGAAAAGCTCTTTAATGGCTTAGTTTTGAATTAAAAGTTTTCTCAAAGGGACCGCTAAACTGCTACTTCTGTCTTACACTTATGGTCTTCATGACATACAAGATTGTATGAAGGACTTAATACACAAATAAGAGAGAAACTTTAGGGTTACTCTGAGATTCCCCTTAAGGAATCTCAAGAGAGAGCCTCCTGAACCTTTCTAAGTGTGAGATCTCTCTGCAGCTAAATGTAAATAAGTAATTTCATTTTCATGAAAATGTTTTCAGTTATTCCTTTATGGTCACATGGGGGGCACTGTAAGCATCAAACAATGGGTGTCTGATCTACTCCACAGCAATGCAAATATCCCCTCCCAGCACACCAAAGAGACAGTCTTATGTATGCACTAGGGAAGATTATGAAACATGAATGAAAATACCAGCCAAGTCTGTATCAGTTTTACATCAGACACAAACAACACCAGCTCTAAGCTATTTGAGGACCTGGCTAAGATTAGTAACTAAAAATAGAGTGAACAGTTGAAGCCAGATTGTAGCAGGACAAGATTAATTCTGCTGAAGAAAAAGGAAGGGTTTTGAAAGCCATATCAACATTCTGCCTTCCGACTCCATTCAAAATATTTGCCCTTTAATCTTTGAAACAGGCCATACCTTGGTTTTCTGCACGACTCCTTAGTTTCAGGCTGCACAATAGCAAATCTCAATCTTCAGCTGACTATGC